GCGACCCCTAGAGGACGCAGTGTCTCGTTCCCCTCAGGGAACCATGGTTACATAAGTAACCCGAGACGTTTGCCATTGTGTTAAAAAAAAAAACAGCACAACATAATAAATAATAAAAATTATAATCATATATCAAATAATTGTTGAATATTAGTTCTGCTAATTGGTTATTAGAGAAGATAAATAAATAATAATAATAAATATCATAATTTCCCTTAACATACAAACAAATAATCTAGACAAGGTTGCATAATTTTGAAAATATAGGTGCCCCTAAAACAGGTAAAGCATATATGCTGATGCTGAGCATGTAGGTGCACTGAACTTGTCTTATATCTGTGGACTAATTGGCCAGGGGCTGGGGAAAAAGAACGAGCCAATTATAGTAACAAATGGAGTATTCCTCTCAAATGGTCTGGATAATGTGGAAGTCCGGGCAGGTCGCTGCCAGTGCTTGGCGGCTAGTTTTTTATGAATCATTAAGATCTTGTTTGAATGAGGGGCAGAGAGCAGTATGACCCTCAACTCTCTCATTTCTGACAAGGAGTGTCTCGTTTTTTGTTCCTACACTATGTCTGGGGCCGGTTCCTCTGACCTCTGGTGTGGAAATTGTTAGTAAAAGCATCACAGCTAGCAGTGTCAGCAGCTCTCTCATGTTTTTGGTGTATCTAGAGGGCATGTGTGGAAATCTACAGCAGCAGCAGCAGTGTCTACTGGGGGCTATATGACTTCATGCTTAATGGACTTTTTTAAATACCACGGGTCTGTTCCACCACAAACTAATTATAGATTCAAAAGGCATTTTGTGCTGCGGTTATATTCACACCCCAAAAGAAGACAGGATGATGTTTACAGTTAGAACTGAGGCTCTTGAATGGAAGGTAATGGTCACTGTGTGTGATCTGAAGGTAATGGACTAAATATGAAAGGCTGTAATGAGAGGTAGAAAAAGAGAGAGAATATCCTAAGGGGACTGTTTTATTCACATTAGCTATGACAGCTTCATTACAGATACGAGCTGAACAAGGAACAGAATAGCAGCAGAATAGGATGGATGGGTGGATGGATAGATAGATAGATAGACACACAGAAAGACAGATGATGGATGAATGCATAGACAGATAGACAAATAGACAGACAGACAGAGATAGACAGATGATGGATGGATGGATAGATAGACCAAAAGACAGAGAGAGGGAGACAGTCAGATTATGGTGGATGGATGGATGGACAGACGGACAGAAGGACAGGCAGAGAGATGATGGAAGGATGGATGGATGGAGGGAAGGACAGGTAGACAAACAGAGAAACAGACAGACATAGAGATGATGGAAGGATGGATGGAAGGACAGATGGAAGATAGACAGATAGACAGACAGGTGATGGATGGATTGATGGACAGAAAGCTCACCCTCATTCTTCCATTGCGTATTGCTGGTCCATCTTCAGCCAATCGTAGAACGAACAGGTCCATCTTATACTCGCGGCCTCCACGGATACTAAAGCCAAAACCTTTCATACCCTTTTCTAAATCAACCGTGAAGTAATCAAAATCCTGCAAACACACACACACACACACACACACACATATTATGGACATTTTATGGACATGCATAATGCATACATTATGGAAATGAACTGCCAGTGCCACTTCAGTGAAGAATTATGATATCAGTGTGTATTTCTACTCCATATAAAACTGTAGCACAGTGTATGTGTGAATACATAGTGGCAGCAGAGCTACCTGTGGCATCCTGTAGTCGGGTAAGGGGAAGGTGCGAGGGTCAGTGGACAGCTGTCTGTAGTCCAGCAGCGGGGGGTGTCTATAATCGAGCGTTGGTGGTTGTCGGTAGTCTGCTACAGGAGGGTGTCGGTAGTCCACCGGGGGCTGCCGGTAGTCAGTGAACGGCTGCCGAATATCAGGTTTTACATCCTGTCTTGCTTTCACCTCTGACCTGTAGCTGAACAACCAATCAGAGCAGAACCAATGGCATTTGGTGATGTTGAATCTTATGCAAACATTTGGAATATATGCAATAACAAGTGAGACTTGGACTACTTCTATGGTGTTTTTATTGAAATTTCTTGTCAAACTTGTCTGCAAAAATGTGGAAATTCAAAATTGTAGCTTTTTTTAGCAACAAAAGCTGTAATCTGTTTACGTCTGTTTTCCAGCAGATGCCGTCAAAAACGACCTACCACTGACGGAGCTACCTCTCTAATGAATTTTAAAGTTTAATACAGGATAATGTTCTGTTGAAAATGGCGAAGCCTGAGGAGCTCTAGGGTGTATATTGAAACTTGAGTGAGCATGGAGAGGAAGTGAAATCATTGGTCCCTGCAGGCTTTATAAATGATTAAAAACTGTTTTAAAGAGCCATGTAGGTAAATTATTCAGTTCTGTAAGAGATAAGTGATTTTACGCAACAACCTAACAGTGAGAGGCAGTCTGTGACTCAGAGAGGTTCAGATTCACTCTATAAATAGTGAACTTTAGTAGAGTAGTTACTAGAGCAGAGCAACAGTAAAACTAGTGCAACAGCTTAAAACATATTTAAGTAATAATGTAATTTGTGTTGGCGCCTTGCCTGGTGTCATGGCTGTAGATCTGTACTGGCACTGCGGATGGCTGGGTGGGCGGGTTCTGTTGGGTCACTGAGCTGGGCTGATTAGCTGGGCTGGTTTGAGTGACAGGGCTCGGTTGTGCTTCTGAACTAGGCTGCATTATGGGGCCGGGCTGAAGTGCAGAGTTGGGTTGAGGGGTGGAGTTGGGTGGATGGGCAGCACCCGTCTGGCTCACAGTGCTGGGTTGGCAAACTGGACTGGGCTGGGCCATAGGGCTCTGCTTCTCTGAGCTGCCTGCAGAAGGCGTGCTGTTTGTCTCTGAAAAATGGAGAAAAGACAAAAAGCTAAGCTATTTTCAGAGCTTCTCTTTGTAACACAGGTTTTTTTTTAATTCTAAAGCAACAGTTTAAGGGTTGCATGAGTACCGTTTATGTTATTTTACCACTAAATTCACAGAAATAATTATGCAAATAAAATAACATCGCAAACATGCCCAAAATCTGTGAATGCAATTTGTATGGCACAGTTTTCCATCTTGGAGGCTGGTTCTGAGCGCTAGTTCATGAAGTATTCAGCAGACTACCATAATCTGGCATACTTTACTAAACAGCACAGCATTGCAATTTTGAATAAGGTGGAATCTATAATAAACATAATTTACATAGAAAGGAAGCATGTTAGCATGAAAAAAGAATGCCAATGAATAGTTAAAGTGGATTTCTGTACCATAAACAAATGGTGCAACCATTTCGTGAATTTGCATTTCTAAAGGATAGTTCACTCAAAAATGAAAATTCTGTTATCATTTACTTACCCTCATGTCATTATAAACCTGTATGACTTTCTTGCCATTTAAAATTGTATTTTTTTTAAACATTTGTATTTAATTTTAGCACTGACATTTCAGGCACAATCTCACAACCCCCCTGTAATTTTATCACAAACTACTAGGGCTGTCCAAAAAAGATTCGAATTTCGAATATTTGTCGAATTTAAAATAAAAATCCACATTCGAATGCAAAAACATTGCATTCAAATTTTAGGTGTGCATCAGGCAGCTTTATCAGTGATGCACGAGATACGATGACGATGTAAGTGTCATTACATTTTAATGTTTTTCTTAGCCTATCCAGTTGAACCCACTAGATGCGGCGCTGCTATGTTATTCATTAAAATATTGCGGGAAAAAGAACATAATGCAGAGATTATGTTGTTTACGTCAAAACCGAAACCAAACCGTTCAAACAGAACGCATATTTATCACATTTTCTAGAGGGACATCTATCATTGTTACACTCGCGTCTTGCACAAGAGAGCCACATGTTTAGAAAGCCATGTAAAATTAATGTAAGTTCAACTTTTTAAAAACATATCTCAAGACTTTATGGCGGTTTTTCCCCATCCTACTGCATCTCATGTTTTTAAATGAAGAAAGTACTCTTTGTGATTGGTTTTCAGTCCTTTGTATTAAACTATACATACATGCATTATTCTGTTTTGGTTCTAATTGTTTAAGCCACTTTAATTATATAAGGTTTATAAACATTATTTTAAACATTATGCACTTTTTTTAAAGATAGTCGTGTTATTTTATTATGCTTTGAAGAAACGTGCATAATATTTTGCTCGATGCGCCCTCTTGCAGTAATAGCATCCAATCACATTTTAACTTCTAAAAATACTTATATTATGCTTTAAAAAAACTGTCAAAGGATAGCTTGTTTGAAATAATTCAGATTATTTAAAAAACAGTCAGAGGCTCCTTAAAGCTACAGCGTAAAATCTCTGCTTCACCAAGCACACGGCAAAAATAAGTTTCCACAAACACCCTGACCAGTCCTTTTACCCCACCCTCTTCCATTGTTCAGAAAAACAGGTAGTCCCGCCCAACCTCACACTATTGGTTGAGCCATTTGACATGTCAGAGCAATTTTCAGGAAGTCGACCTGTAAATGGCTTACTTAAAGTTGTCTCTGCATATTAAACTCAGATAAAAGAAAGTATTTTAACATTCAAATGGCTATTACACATAGTCGTTTCAGTAGAAGAATTATGTAAGAGTCAAACTTTGCGTAAAAGTCCCATTCAAACAGTTTCACAGATGTCAACTCACCCTCCTGAGGGATGATCCTGAGTGTGACGCTGAGTCCCGCGTCCTTGATCAGTTTGACGATGTCGGCGTGTGGCATGTTGACGATAGACTGATTGTTGACGGCCAAAATACGATCTCCAACCCTGAGCTTCCCACAGTGGTCTGCTGGACTTCCCTCAATGATCCGGCCAATCTTATGGGGTACGGCTGACAATACACACGCACAAATACTTTTTACGTAACGCATCGAGAGAGCTCTCTATCTGCACTCTGTCCTTTCCTGTTAGTGGATCTGTTTTTATATACGAGTGTGGGCGCTGCATTAGAACATTGTAACTAGCCTCTTCAGCCCTCAAATAGGAGTGCATCCATTATTAATACACAGGTTTATGAGGACATGCTGCACTTTTCAAATCTCTATGACCCTTTGATGCAGCCAACCTGAGTAAGCTATTACAGTAAAGGAACATTCCAGATTAAAAATAAATTCAAATTAAAGTGTGTGAAGTGTACAAAAATAATTATTCCTTACCAGCAGCAGCCGCAGATTCAGGCCTGTTCAGTGAACTGATAATAACGAATCCGAACCCTTCGCTCTCCTTGCGCTGGATGGTGACATCACTAGACTGCAGATTGTGATTGGCTACAGTGTCTGGTGGGGAGGAGCCTGTGGTGGATGGGGCAGAGTTTTGCAAGGGGGCGGAGTTGTTATAGAACATTTTGGAGTTGAAGTCACTCCTCGGGGAACTGTGCTGGGTCGATCCAGGACTGCGGCCATTCTCTGGACAGTGTTCACCTGAAGATAAAAGAGCGAGAAAGAAAAGGATAAATGGTTATATATATTTATGAAGCTGATGGGAGGAGCCAATGAGCAAGACTTCAGTCTTATCATTATTAAGACACAAGAAGTTTTCAGACATCCATATTTTATCTGAGAAATACAATGTGTTAAAAAAAAACATCCAAATTTTGACCAGGCCTAGAATGAATATAAATCTGAGTGTCATCTTCATAAAAATGATAATTAAGCTCATGTGATCTTAGAAGCAGTCCGAGTGGAAATATGAAAATGCATAAAAGTAAGGGGCCTAAAATTGAACCTTGAGGAACACCCGTACGGACAGAGCCCATCTCAGACCAAAAACCACTCATACAAACAAACTGTTGAAGATCAGTGAGGTAAGATCTAAACCAGGTTAAAACAGTCTCAGAAACACCAAAGACAGTTTCCAGACGATTGATTAAAAGGTTGTAATTAACAGTATCAAAAGAGGCACTAAGATCAAGAAGAATAAGAACAGAGAGAGAACCAGAATCTGAGGCTATTAGCAGATCACTGGTGACCTTGACCAAAGCTGTCTCAGTACTATGAAATTTTACTATGAAAGGGGTTCAAAAAGATTATTTACTATGAGATGATTGTGCAGCTGCAAAGCCACAACACGTTCTATATATTTGATTCTAATTGGTTAATCGTTGCGTTCAATGTGCAGTCAAATATTTCTGTATTATGACCACTAAACTGTATATTTCAGAAGTTCATGAGTATCTAGTCAAAATAAGAACATGAAAACATCTTTTTGGACAGGAAAGGAGGTTTTGAGGTTTGAAAGTGACAATATTTTTACATAGTAGGGTACAACGGGGCTAAAGGCGCCTTTGGTATTATTTTCATCTTTATGACTAGATGGCACAAAAACGTGGCGTAGTACTTTCCAAAACATCCGCTTTTCACGATGCACGTGTGTATTTATCTGATCTTTGATGCAATCGCGCGCAGCAGCGCAAAGTTGATTCTGTGCTTATTGATCTAATATTTTATGTTTTTTAAAAATGTTGTAGATTTAAGTAGCAAATGAGAATTGCTCAAATTAATGCATATATTTTGAGACAAAGGTCTTCTTTATGATTTTCAGTTTTGTTTAAGATAATTAAAGCAACAGTTTTTAAATAACGAAAGAATATGTAAAAGATTTTGTTTCTGTATTTTAAAATATATTTTTTATATTAACATATTTTAATGACAGTATATTTATTGAACAAAAATGTATTCTTTTATTTTTCAAAATAAGCAGAAAATAGTACAAACTTTGCTAAAGTGATTGTTTTGAACAAGTATTAACTTAGACATAATAAAAAAAAAAATGTAGCTTAAAAAGTTTAGCATTATTTTAGCTGAAATATTTGTATCAATACCGTGTGCCTTTTACCCCATGCTGGTGGGCCTTTTACCCCGTGTGTGGAGTAAAAGGCCCATCATGCCACCTCATACATTTATAAGATTTTTAAACAAAATAAACAACTTGAATGATTTATTTTCACACAAAATCTGTTGCTCCATTAATGTCCAATACAACGTATATATTTTTTTCTGCAATTATACATTTTAGGCGCAGTGAATAGCACATTTTTCCTTAAGGTGGGCCTTTAGCACCGTTGTACCCTATATAACGATTTACAAGCTTGGGTAAGATTTTGTTACTTTTCTTTGAAAGAAATGTATGCTTTTATACTGCAAAGACACAATAAATAGTTTAAAAATGACAGTAAATACATTTATAATGTTTCGAAAGATTTCTATTTCAAACAAACGTTCTTTTGAACATTCTATTCATCAAAGAATCCTAAAAAAAGTATGATATCAGAATGATTTATGAAGGATCATGTGACACTGAAGACTGGAGTAATGATCCTGAAAATTCAGCTTTGCATCACAGGAATGAATTACATTTTTATACTCAAAATATATTCAAATATATATTTATTCAATATTTATATTCAAAATATTACTAGAACAATTATAACTTTAATATATTATTATTATTATATTTTTTTTTACCTCTAACAGGTACAATAAAAACATTAAATAGAATTTTTAGATACAGAAACAGGTATCAACTACGATTAATACAAGTGAATGTGAGAGAGAAAGAAAGAGTCTATATTATAGGGTTTGGCTAAAGCTGGTCTGAAGTCCTTCTGTGATCAAACAGTAAGCCAAAAAAAGCCAGCAGCCAGACATTGCCTCAACCGCTCCACTGAGATGAAAAGGGGGAGAAACGATTGTCCAGGGAAGATAAGACTGAGAGGATGAGCCAGACAGCGGGATGGATGAGGGAGGTAGAGCTCGAGAGGGCACAGAATCTGAGCCTCAGCTACACCAAGAATTATTAGACAGCGTGGACATGAGAGAGACAGACAGAGGACACATAATAAGCAGCAGAGGTACAGTATAACAGAACCTGCTTCATTACCTCCATATATACAGTGGGTACGGAAAGTATTCAGACCCCCTTAAATTTTTCACTCTTTTTTTCAAGGGTTTATTATTATTATTATAACTTTATTATTATTAAAACAAATGTCAGTTTTTTTTTCTCTTTTGATATATGAACGTCATATTAAATCTGCACTGGAAACTTTGGATCATGCTACCATCTTTTATTCTTGTTATTTTTCAAATGTGTTTTATGAGCATATTTTATTGCTTAACTCTTGTCCTAGACCCAGACTTTTAATCTTAAACTATGAAAATCCATTTTGAAAATACATGTTACATGTTACATGTTTAGAACTATGATCATTTAAAACAAAGCTGAAATAAACTATTTCATTATTTAATTTATGCCAATGAAAATATGAATGTTCCTCATTTGGTGTCATTTCCACCACAACAATCAATTTTGACCCTAATAAATGTAAATTTTTATAACAAAAATCGAATATTAGTGTACTTAGTACAGTGTACCATGGAGACAACAGTGAAGTGCATGCTTGAGATGAAATATAACACGTGTGACGGTGAAGAAGGTAAATATCACATATTTGTTCAGATTTAAGACAAATAAATAGTCAAATCCCTTGTGTTTCGCTAGCTTGCTTGTGGGGTGTAAAAGCTTTTTTAAACATTTTATGTTCACTTTTGATATTATGATTGTGTGTCATTTCCAATCAAACTGTAATATTTGTAATATTATGCAGAAACGTTGTTTAACTGTGTTTTAAGGATACATAAAATGTAGCAATGAAATTAGCCTTAGCAAGACAAAGAAGGTGGCCACTTTCCACTCAAAATGTTAAAAATGACATTTCTACCACAAATTGCTATTAAACACAATAGATATGACACTATATTAAAAGATGTACGTTCACTGTTGGACATTGTTGGTAGACGAATGAAATAAACATCAGCCATTTCGCACCTGTGGACTGAATTCTCCGTCGCACAGTGAGTTTAACCTGCCCAGTCCGGGCCGCCCCGTGCATGAGGTCAATGACGTAACGGTGGGGTTTTCCAGCCACAGGGATCCCATCGACTGACATCAGCTCGTCTCCTGGCCGGAGATGCCCGTCTTTATCTGCTGGGCTCTTCTCGATGATTGCACCAATCAAGATCTGTAAATGTACAGCACGGTTACTACAGACTCTCTTTAAACTATATACGGAAACTAAAGTGGACGAACAGACACATTATCATGGTAGCAAATGACAGTGAGCTCTGTTTTAGGGAGTGTGTGGTTAGTCCTAGAGTACGGGCCTTCTCCTGAACCTCCGGACTCACAGGCTGTCCTGGTTCCTCTCCGCCCAGGATCCTGAAGCCAAAACCGGACTTCTGTCTGCGCAAGTGCACCTCCACCTCCTGGAACTCTGATGGTGTCAATGAAAGCACACATTTATCTCACAACTACGACTATTTTCATCCTTCAAGTGTAATTTAGTGTTCTGGATGACATTTAAGACCCCCATTTCTGTTCACTGAGTACTTAATTTGTAAAATCATTCATTTTATGCTCTTGAACCTGCATTGAGAGCTTCATTCTCAAGGCAGTGCGAATGACAAGTGGCAAAAGATGGCAAAAAATTTAATCTCCAGCTTGTATTTCACAGAGGTCACAATAAGTGCATAAAAAATGAATACTAGACTTTCAGACTTTATTTGCAAAAATGTATAAAATATTTATATTTAGATTTCCGAGTTTATATTTGACTTTTTTTTGATGCACCTATAAATTATTTTAATGTGCAATGCATTACACTGTACTTTCTATTTAGACTTTATTTTATTACCATTTCAGAGCAAATACATAAATACTAAATATTATTTCCAGCCTTTTTTTTTTTTTTGTAATGATAATATTTTTAATGAAAAATGTCCTTAAAATTGGCATATGATTTTAGGCGTATGATTTTAGTATTTGAAGATAATAAATGCAAAAAAAAAAAAAAGAAAAACTGCAGCAGGCCAAACTTTATACCAAATATTTAAAAAAATGTATAGAGGTCATAAAAACTGGATATATAAAATGAACTTCAAACTTTCAGACTTTATTTTATGCAGCACTCCTTCTGTCAGATAGTTTTTTTTTTTGGGTGTAGATTTATTTACTCACCGGAAGGGTCAGCTAGGAGAGCTCCTCGAGGAAGCCCTGGCTCTAAGAATGGGAGAGATACAAGGACAGCCCATAAATCACTGCTTATATAAACACACACAACTCTAAATATACTAACTACAACATATACATCACCTGTCTCACTAATATAATGCCCAACAGCTACAAAGCAATGAAGATATATGTGAATATACAGTGCCCACAAAAATGCACTTAAAGCACACTTAAAATGTAATTTCATAACAAAATGATGTGAACTACTTTGACAATTCTGACTGACTTTTAATCAACTGGTGTTTAGGTGTTTTTTAGTGGATTTTGGGGTTTTAATGATATAATATCTCAAAACTCAAGTTCATCTCCTGGCTCAGAGCAGACAGACACTGAGATCGGCATGAGCAGCGCATTTCGGCCTGAAAACCTAAACACGGCAATACATTATGCTATATGTATATTGCATTTAAACTAGGTGCCAGGTGAAGCTTGAGCCTGATTCTGAGAGGGAGTCTGATCTGAACTGCATCATTCCTGATGAGGTATCTGCCTCTCTGCTGGAGCTGGTTGATATTCTGGTGATATTTAACCAACATATTGGTGTATATTGGGATGATTTACATGCTTTTCATTCGACTGTAGCAGTAGGCTGGTTTAAGTACGACAGTGTCAAGATGCTAAGCTCTCTAATTTAAACCTCAATTGCATTAGAGTTTGATTCATTTAGGCAAATGAGCTCTTTTGAAATTAATCAGTTCAGAATTAAATTATTTGTGGAAGTCTCTGTGTGATATTTTGCATGCTTTGGAATGTTTCAATAAACAGATGCAGTTGAACGTTGCTGTTTATTATTATTTATTGTAAAATGAGTGCATATAAAATGATTAAATAATTTTCTTTGCATTCAATAAGAAGAGCATGGAAAACCCGCTTTAAATACATTAACTTTTTAATGATTGATAGAATTTACCATACAACGCCATTTCAGAGCAAATACATAAATACTGAGATATTAATTTCAGCCTTTTTACAACATAAATATTGTTAAAAAAAAGTGTTTTTTGATGTCCTGATAAGGTTTCATTCAAAAAAAAGTATAAAGCAAAAGTTTAAAGGCATAAAATGATAAAAAAGGTAAAAGTATAAAGGTTTATGAATTCAACCATCAAAAATGACATCAAATATGCATTAACATAAACAGAATACTTGTCGTTGTTGTTGTTAAAACCTAAGCTCCTTAAAAAAGGCTTGAATATAATACGTATTAATGAGATTTTAAAAGTTTCTATTAACCATCTTGACAGAATGCAAAATCTCTACAGCATCTTTGCAACATCAAGTGCATTTTCAAACAGCTATAAAACATTAACAGTGTTGTGACTGAACATACTCAAACATTCCTGACACTTTCAGTTTAGAAAGAGGTGCAAATTCACAAAATGAGGCTGTTTAAAGCATCTTCCTCAAAAAATGAGACGTGGCTCACAGAAAAATATACAAAATGTAATCAACCATCAGGAAGCGAGCATACTTACCTTAAAGAGAAACCAAACTGTTTGCACACCAAGTCTATAATCACCAGCATATCTACAATAGATGCTAAATATAATAATAATAATAAAGCAAAACCTCTTATAATTCTAAGGAGGATCATTGCACAAGAGAGAAGGTAATCATCAACACTAACCAACCTGTCATTGCCAGCTGTGAATACTAGAGAAAACTATATACAAAATAAAGGAGGAGGTATAGACTAGGAAACAGTAATGAGGAAGAGCATACCTGCTTATTTAAAACAGTTGAAAAATGTCAGTAGAAAAAGGTTTATGCAAATGGACAGTGAAACAATGAAGTGACCAATAATGGGAGAGCAGACAGAAGCTGAATAGAAGCGCCTGCTAGCAGCAGAACATGTTGACCTCTATCGATTCAATCGCTGTCAATCAGTTTAAAGCACCTTTAGAAATGCAAAATAAACTCTATTGACAGTTCAGACTTATTTGTTCAATATGCAGTAGATTTCAGGTGCAGTAATAAGTATGAATTGGTGCATTTCAAACTATTTGTTGAATTAAACATACGCTTCTACTTAAAATGCAATGAATATGAATGTTGGTTCATATGGACCTCGGTAAAGTTCAGAAAGCCTGTATGTGTGGTAAAGTCTGTAAATTTGGTTAAGAAAGTACCTGCATTAATAATGTAAAGTGTTATATAACGTCAAAATCACTAAGACCACTAAAGTTCTCCCAGACCCCAGAGCAGCTCTACAGATCTCATTGTGGGAAACTTCCAAACTGACAAGATGCAACAACCTCAAAACACTTACCATGGAGGACAACATTGTAAGACACAACAATGGAAAGGTATTTTTTGAGCCCGAGAGAGCTGACATGGTCACTCAAGTCCATGTTCTAACCAGGCCCAACTCAATAAGGCACCGGTAAAAGTAATTTTTTGGTCCAAACGGAAAGTTGTAGGTGAACATATTTGAAGTTTAATATCAGTTTATTCAGTGGCCATCTTGAACTCTATTTACTCTTAGTAACAGACATTCAAGTACAGCTCTGATAGGATTAATATCAGTAATAAAAGCTAACAACATTTGTAACATAAATTTGGCTTCTTTAGTGGCTAAAAACTCCTTATATAAAAGCAACTCAATTTAACTTCCATTTCTACGATATTTGACGCTACGATTTCTTCCATGACATTTTTTTACAACTACGTGGAGTGGAAAATTCAACCAATGAGATTTCACTGTGGGTAGGGCAACTTTAATACAAATCAAGTAATTGCCAAAATTTCATGTCACTCATTCCGAATCTCACCGAAAAGATAGCTTTTATCGTTAGCTGCTTTAGCACATTGTGCCTCATTAGGACATGCTGCTACATACCTTTTGACATGTATAACAGGAAATACAATTGGTGTTTGATGTGCATAAGCAAGTGTGCAAATTTCAGTGGAAAAATACAGTAGGTAAACAGCACAGATTAGCAGTAGGCATTAATGCTAGCTTTAGCTGCTAGCAAGAAGTTGCTTCAGTTACTTACGCCTATTCTCATAGATAGCCCTGGACTTCTCATACAGGTCATAGGGGTCAGGCTTGGTCAGGTCAAACTCTGGACCTGAGGGCCAGTGCAGATATGGAGTGCTGTGAGGGAGAGCATGGATAGATAGACTGGTTGTGGGACTGCTGTGAGGATCCCAATGTTCCACGACCTGCAAATACACCGGCATTCAGTAAAGCGCCCAGCGCTGAGCTTATTAATATGCTGAACTGAGTAAGCAAACTGCGCTCTTCCAGGCAACTTCCGCCTTGGAATTTCACTGGCCGTGGGATAGGAAGGTGTTTAACAATGAACTTGCTTTGCGGTAATTAGTTTTTAAATGAAGCATACACTCACACAATACGTGGCAAGTTAGTTCTAGCTCAGCAAAATAAGGCCGCATCAAGGGCTCATCAAGGACGCTTGATGCATTTCTCTATTGCTGACGACACTGAAAGTAATCTTGAATGTAAGCTGTGGGCGAAACGTTCCCAAACCACTTCAATACACCGGGATCTTGCACAACACCCAAAATTAGGTTATGCAAATAGAATGTGTGAAGAACAGTAATCAGGCATAGTCCACTTTTTCTAATATTAAAGCTGTTGTCACACATGATTTGATTGCTTGCTTTGAACCCAAGTTTGATTCCCCCACCCTCTACCTCTGCTAGTCATTTTGCACTTTTTGCGTCATTTTTACTAGTTCCGATTCCTCTTAAAGGGGTCATATGACGTTGCTAAAAAGAACATTATTTTGTGTATTTGGTGTAATGAAATGTGTTTATGCGGTTTAAGGTTCAAAAAACACATTATTTTCCATATAATGTACACTATTGTTGCTCCTCTATGCCCCGCCTTTCTGAAACGCGTCTACAGCGAGAATATAAGTTACGCCTTCTTTCTTTGCGTGAACGTTTGGGCGGCGTTATGCAAATCTTCCGAGATCGTGACGTAGGTATGTGGGGGTGTGGTCTTTTTAGCCATTTTAGGTAGGCGTGGTTGACTCTTAACTTGTATAAAGAATATCTCTTTGGATTTGAGACTTTAGTCTTTGCAACTTTACAGATCTTCTTTATGCACCAAGAGCTTGTAACACTCCAAAGAGAAAGGAAAAATTGAAATCGCATCATATGACCCCTTTAATGGTTTCATTAACCATTCTCTTAGTAGTTTTATAAGTAAATATTTGAAAGAAAGAAAAAAACAAGAAATGCAATTTCCATTATCAAATTATGAGATGATTTCAAGAAATAAATGTTAAACAATCTTCCAAAAATTGTTTACACAGATGTTTTTAGAATTTTTAGAACACTTCCTGATCCCAAACTTTTGAACGGTAGTGTATTTTAATAATTTTTTATAAAGTACTACTGACAAAATACATAATGTTATGTGTATCTCTAACTATACATATTGTCATATGAACAACCAGTCAATGACTACAAAAATGCAAATGATTTGGTTTCTATATCTGTTCATTTTCATGATTTAGGTCAAATTGCGTATATATGATTTTCGGATGTACTTGTATTCGCCTTTTCAAGCAGACACCATGGTTGTGTGCCATGAATTGCATCAGAATGCTTTTTAAATTTGCAAAATTTGAATAAGGTAGCAGAATTTATATAATTAAAATACAATTAAAATCAACTGACAGAAGACATTTACCCCAATAAATCCAACTGTCAACAAGAAAAAGGAACATTTGAATTGCAATTAGTAAATTCTACTTCCTATCATTCACATTCATACAATTCAACTTCCTGTCAGGTCGTGGCTGTTCAGTTCCAACTTTTGAACCGACAGTGAGGTGATTAAATAATAGTACCCAACCCTGGACAACAAATGGATTCGGGTTCGTGCCAAAAGCTTTAGCGTTGAAAGCGCCCTAAAAGCAAAGACAAACAAAAGGCATAATTGAAGAAGAGGAGGAAAAATCAACAAAGAAAGAAAGTAGATGCCAGACTGAGAAAGATGCCAAGGCTTATTAAAG